TGGTAAGAAATGTACGCATTATCCTGCCCATGCAATTGTAACCCCTCTGTACAGTATGTTCACAAATAAAATAAAATTAAATTAAAAAAAATTATACCAATTCCTAGGAAGTAAAATATTACCCATTGTCTACCTCTATACCACCCAACTTTCATCAAAACCTAGGTGTATACCTTGTTGCATAGTTTTATTTGAAGCAATAATAATAAGGTCTTCTTAACTTGATAAACTTAAACTCAAACCACAGCCTAAAATCTGAATGCTTTCTAAGTTCTTTATGAATTTCGTATGACTCTGATGTACTTGTAATGATATTAAATCACACTGCAGGAAGTAGAGAGCCAGCCCTGAATAAATAAAGCTAAGGGACAGTGTCCAAGCCCTGAGTTCAAGCCCCATAACCAGCATATACACACACAAGTTACAATTGGATTAAAATTCAAAATATGAAATAAATATCTAACAAGCTGATTGCATACATAAATGAGTGGCAAGAATAGACATATTCCCTCACAGAAGTACTCCAATGATTCATGTATATATTCAGTCCTCATGGAATTTGAATCTTGAACTCCCACTCATCACATTCTTTTCTAAGGATACCATTGTGGCTGGCACAAAGTAACTTCAGCTGGAGAAACCTGAAGACAGTCTTCCTTGGTACTATTAACACTTCACCTAACATCACGAGTGACAAGTTTTATGTTTAGTATATGCCCTTGATATGGTACCATAAACACAGCTCTTACATTTATAATCTTCTCAAGACCCATAATACACAACTTCAGAAAAACAGGTAAAGCATTCTAAGTATTGTACAGTCTACAAATTATTTAATATGAACGCAAAACTGCCAAGCATTAAAATCTAGGGAGTTTGAGAAACTGTCACAGACAACAGGAGCTTAAAACCATATGATAGCTCAATATCATTTGGTGTCTTGCATGGCAAGATAAAAGAAGTTAGAAATACAACTAAATAAATCCTAAATAAGGAATAGACTTTAGTTAATAACAGTGTAACAGCCTGAGTTGAATAATTTTTACAAATGTACCATACTAATATCAAATGTTAATAGCAGAAACTGGGTGTGGAGTATATGCTTGGTGTGAGAATCCTCTAGTATCTTTGTAACTCTTTTTTAAATCAAACTACTTTAAGTTTAGTTTTGAAAATCTAGTATGTTATTTTGTACAATGAAGCTGCTGTAAAATTAAAGTCTAATTATTTTTTCCCTTACAGCTCTTTCTCTTTGAGAGCATTTAGAATGTTCCTTGTGTTTAGCATTCTTTAACTTGCTATGCTATTTTCAGGTGTGGATAATTCCATGTCTGTTCTGTTGGTCACAGAATAAGCCCTGTGGATCAAATATTTTTACCATTTCCTGATGCCTTCTAGAAATGTTTCTCATTCTAACTTCTACCTACTTGAGTTCTTCAGTTGAACTAATTCAATTAAATATATCTAGTGTATTCTTGTATAAAGTTATATATATATTCTGATTTTAATAACTCTTGTATTTGTTCATTATACTAATAACTAAAATCTTTCCTTATTTCTTTTTTCTTTTTGCCAGTCCTGGGGTTCGAACTCTGGGCTTGGGCACTGTCCCTAAGCTCCTTTTTGCTCAAGGTTAGTGCTCTACCACTTGAATCAGGGCACCACTTCTGGATTTTTTCTGTGGTTAATTGGAGATAATAGTCTCACAGATTTCCTGCTTGGGTTGGCTTCAAACTGAGATTCTCAGATCTCAGACTCCTGAGTAGCTAGGATTATAGGTGTGAGCTGCTGGTGCCTGGCCTTTTTTATTGTTTGAATGTGCATTCTTTTCCTTTCTTTCTTTTTCTCCTCCTCCTTATACCAGGGCTTAAACGCAAAAGCTTCATGCACTCAGTTGGCTTTCTTGTTCATGGTTAGCTGGTACTCAACCACTTTGGGCCGTGCCTCCAGTCACATTCATTATTTCTATCAGTTTATAAAACTGTACACAGTAAAGGACTATCCAATGATGGCATTCCACAATGCATATATATATATATATATATATATATATATACTCCAAGTGCTACTTTCTCTCATTTCTCCCTGCTTCCCCCTTTTCCTTTGCCTTACCACCTCACTCATCAGCCCCCTTTATTTTCATGACCTTAGTCCCCCACCCCACACCAGCTCCACAAAAAAAGAGACAGCCTGTGATACTTATCTTTGTGGGAATGGCCTATTTCAATTAACACGATGATCTCCAGTTCCATGAATTTACCAGACATAATTTATTCTTCATAATGTCTGAGCAAAACTCCATTATATAATAAATAAAACATTTTTTTTTTTTTTTT